TGACGACCTTTAAGCACCCTAGCAACCAAAGAATCCGGCTCCGTCAGAATACGCCAACACTGTTTTGCAAGCAGAGCCTGATTAAAAGCTTCAAAATCCCGGAAGCCCAGTCCCCCTTCAGACTTAGGCATACACAGATTTCGCCACGAGACCCAAGATAGACGGCGTTCAGTACCCTGTTGACCCCACCAAAACCGCGCAATCATGCGATTGAGAGACCTACATAACCCTTTTGGTAGCCAAAAGCAGGACATAGCATATACCGGCAAAGCAGAGATCACAGACTTGATCAATGTCTCAAGACCAGCGGGAGACAAGCAGCGTCGTTTCCATCCTTGTAACTTTTTGGACACAGCATCCTCAATGAAACGAAAAGTACTTCTTTTAGACCGATGAATTAAGGATGGGAGTCCGAGGTATTTATCCTTAGCCCCAATCGCACCAACCCTCAACAAAGCGCCATAATGAGAAGCCTCCGCAGGAAGAGTGTTCTTAGAGAAGACCACCGCAGACTTTGATAGATTTACACGCTGACCACTCATATTCTCATAACGCCGCAAGACATCCAGTAAGAAATGACAATCCCGGTCAGAAACTCGAAGAAAAAGGAACGCATCATCAGCGAAAAATAAGTGCGAGAGAACTGGGCAATGATGATTAAATCGAATTCCTTTTAAGTCATTTCGCTGAAGCGATTGAGTCAATAAAGCCGAGAATCCCTCAGTACAGATAGCAAATAGCAATGGTGATAATGGATCACCTTGCCGGAGACCACGAGTAGGGTGGAAATAACCATAAGAACTGCCGTTTAGGAGAACAGAAAATGACGTTGTAGAAAGACAGGTACGGACCAAAGCAATGAGTCGAGGATCAAAACCCAATTTCTCCATTAACCGAAAGAGGTAAGGCCATTCAATGCGATCATACGCCTTTTTCATGTCCAGTTTGAGCGCCATAAAACGCTCCTTACCACCACGTTTATTAGTGAGATAATTCATAACCTCCTGACTAATGATCACGTTATCTACAATCGAACGATCCTTGATGAAACCATTCTGGTATGTAGATATAACCTTTGGTAAAATTTCGCCGAGTCGGGTGGCCAAGATTTTAGAAACAATCTTATAAAAAACCTGACAAAGACCAATAGGGCGAAGTTGAGCACACGACTCCACATTCGGAACTTTAGGGATGAGTGTCAACCAGGTATGATTGAACGCTCGAAGTAGGTGACCAGATCGAAAAAACGATTGCACTGCAACACAAACATCGTGACCAACGAAATCCCAATAGTGTTGAAAGAAAAGGGCGGTGAACCCATCTGATCCTGGAGCTTTGGAGGAACCGATTTGAAACACCATATCTTTAATAAGAGAGGAAGTAACCGGTGCTAGGAGAGATGAATTCATAGAAGGCGTGACCCTCCCATCGAACTGTAACGAATCCACAGCTGCCGCTATGTCAGATGGCGTGCTTCTAACTTTTCTTCTTTTCCCCCGTCCCGTGTTGCCAGAGATGCAAGGCCTAGATTAATGTGTCTCAGAACATCCAGTTAGGTGGGCTCATTGTTCCACCCAGTGGAGCCCATAATGCATTACAGGCCCAGCCTCCAGAGTTCCATCATGGCATCATATTGGATCACCAGAACTTGATGGTGTAGTTGATAGTGGAGATGGTAGGTTCTTTATATCTTGGAATCTTTGATTTTCTTCTTTTTAAGAGTGATCTATTGCCAAAAGAAAAAATTTGATAGTGTAGTTGATAAGAAGTCAACACAATTCGTTTCTTAGTTACTTTGTAAAATGTGCTCTTAAGTATTAACTGATATGTAGATGATATATGTAACCAATCCATTTTCCTCTTTCTATTCGATAATAAAAAACTCTTCAACATCAAAAAGAAAAACTGTGATCCTTGTATGTATCTAAACAACTCATAATAACAGTTAAGATGAGCACATATTGAAATGAATAGTATTACATTTCTATGGCTACTTATTGAGGGGTGGGAGAATGACTAGTTGAACGTCAATATCAAGTCCATCTTAATTTAGAGGTCTAACAACTGTACTCTCCAACATCTACTGTACTTATCATATATCACAATTTGTAACGAGACATTTTACTTGAGAACTAAGTATGAGGATCATTTCACCTCGATCGGTTCATGTGCCTTCCTGCCCACGAAACGCAATTCATACTTACTCCAAGCCCGCCATTAAATAGAGTTGAAACCATTTTAGTGTACAAGATTCTAGTAGGAGGTGACCTTGAATGTTGAATGTTCACCTAAATGCTATTAGTGTAACAGATAGGGAAACACCACCACCTTGGCATGCCATTATGGTAATGTGACAATTCATTTTGTATATACATTCCCTTTTTAATTTGTTGATTAGGTGACATGACTTACATATGTCGATTTATCAATTTGAGTACACTCCCTTTGGGCAAGTCTTACGGTAAATGAGACATTTCATTTTTTTCCTTCTCCACTTTGCCATTTTCGGGTGAACGATGACGCTGCATGCTATCATATTTTTCTTTTTTTAATTTAAATATAACCTTACAATGTGCAAAGAAAATAATATATAGATTTACATGATTAATTAATATGATGTGTGTCAGTTTCACTTTATTTGAGAATATACAAATTACATAGATGAATATACATATAGCATCTTCTCTAGATGGCCTAACGTCGATACAAGCAGAAGATCTGTTCACGAAATGGGAGGGGAAGGAAAATTCAGAGGAGGTGAAAATTTGAAAATAGTGAAATAATAAGGCGAAAGTGGTGTTCAATTTTGAAGAAAAAAATGAGGAGAAAAAGAAATCCAATAAGATGCAAAAGTTGTTTTCACCCCAAATTGGAAAGGCAACTGCTAGAGTAACTTTCCCTTCAAATAATCAATCCTATGTACTATGACAAAACTTATGAATACAAGAAAATTTCTAAATCCCTCCAATTTTTCCACCTCTTTTTCCTCTCCTACGTGAACTGAGGGGAAAAGAAAAATGTAACAAACCAGATTCAAAATACTAAATAGCAACAATATATATATATATATATATACACTATAAGGTCATATATTATGCATTCGACGATAGATAATTTATTTTCAAATTATAGTAACTAAAGGGTAGGGGTGTGCAATGGTCCGGTACGTACCGGATCACACCGGACCAAACCGTTGTTAAGACTGGACCGAACCAGACCGAGTAAAATGCGGTCCGGTCCTAAGTTCTCATGAATTTTATAATTACTGAAGAAATGGTGGACCGAGCTCATATTTGGACCTGATCGGACCAAATGGACCAAATACAAGAATGGTCCGGTCCTTGGTCCTAACATGTCTTTCACCGCGGTTCTCATGAACCGTTGCACACCCCTACTAAAGGGGAAAAGCAATACCATAAATTTTTATAGCTATATTTGAAATAAAAAACACTAAATAATTCATGAAAACATTTGTTAGTCATTCTTCTTTTTATAATTAAATCGTTGTATGGATGGATATCAACCAAGAAATAAAGCAAATCCAGTCAGCCCGTGATTCCCGGGGGGCTTCTTAATATTAAACTATTCATCACTCAACAATTTGACGGTGGATGGAATGTTGACTTGTTTGTTTGGATGAATGAACCGAATATTGGTAGGTGAACTATAGTCCTATACCAAGGTAAGCAATAACAATGAAGGTAGGGAGGAAAGCTCGTTTGGTTCATACCGGAGGGTTGCACACTCTTAGATGAGATCGAGTTTGATTGGCGATTACGTCGGAATTAATTATATAATGAAGTATTAAGGATAATTGAGTCTTGTTTATCAAGATATATCGTACTCAATCCATAAGTAAATATAAAATGGTGCAATCAAGAAATACGACTAACATTATCTTGCAAAGAAAAATATTAATGATATCTTGTTTCCAAATCAAATTATTCGAAGACTCGTAACGTTTAATGATAATTAAGAGGAAGTAGCAAAATGGTATTTGTCACTCTTAGTACATTCAAAGCTTACTACTGCAAATAAATGAAAAAATTCCTCTCACAAATCAAGAGTTATTAGGTCTTCATCAAGAAAAAAGACATACATTATTAGTCATTGTAATACTTAAAACTTGTAAGTGTTGGACTACAACTACCAGTCATTTGCATGGTGGATTTTTTTTAAATGAGACAATTCGACTAAGTTATCTCGTAAATGTCTTATTACACAATTTGTCACAAAACATATAACTTTTATATGCTTGTCCCTCCTCCTATCAATTCAAATTGATACAACAACAAAAAATTCAAACTATTTCGATCCCATTACTGTATTTCCCTTTTGTGTTGCATTCAAACTAGCCCATTTGGCTCAATGTTGCATCCAAACCAGCCCTACAACTAGATGTTGATGCAAGTGAAATGTACACAAAAATCAAAACTTTAGGTTTGAAACTTTGATTCTTTGAGCGTACATCACTATCTTGCCATTTCAGTTTCTCTCCAATCATATGAGTGGATGATTTGTCTTCACTATTCGAGTCTAACCATGACAAGTCCATAGCTCTACATTCCACTACGAGAGATACAAGAGTAGTTGACAAATCTACATACAAAGCCAAAAGCCAACAGCCCACTAAACCCTAGCTAGAATGGCATATACAACACTCAATCGCCACTCACTAACAAACCCACCAACAAATTTGCTTAAACTGAAGCCGCGTTGGACAAAGGAGAGAAAGACCCATGCCAACCGCCATTAACACACCTCCGCTCCTTTCATTATCGCCCAGAAGAGGGCTGCGCGTCACCTACTCCCACCTCTACCAATCATTAAAAGTAAAAGCAACGTAAACCCCTCCATTATTCCTCCTTTCCCCCTCTTGATTATAAGGAGGAAATAAAAAATACCCTCCAAAACAGGGGAACCATTCTCCTTTTTCCTCCTTTTCGTGAAAAAGCCCCGTTTATGGCGAGGGATTAGGAAGAAAGAGTCTGCTGTTGCGATGTGGGGACTGTTTGGTTAGCTACAAGAGGAACACGAAAGCAAAGAATGGAGCGTGTGACGACAAAAGATGATCGCATTTCTCATTTCTGGGTAACGTAAACCAGAGGAAGAGGAAAACACAGTGCTCTTATATAGTTTTTTCCCCCCTTCTCTTCTCTTATGGTAGCTCGAAACCAACTCTCCGCAGCTCCATTCCCTTCTCTCTTTCTGTATTGAGTAATTCCTACCTCCCTCGTGAAACCCAACTGAAAAAGAACCCAACTTTTGAAAAACCCACCTGGTGAGTTCTTCCGTATTTCTTCCTCTGTTTTTTTTCTTCCTCCTTTCGTCTTTTCCGTTTCTGGGTTTCTTCTGATTGTAACTTGTAACTTCCCACCAACAACAAAAGCTATGTTGCTTAGAAACCCAATTTCCAACACGAAACGCTTCTTCCAGCGAACCTTACAAAGCGTCAAGTCTCTCTTCTCCGCCGGCAGCTCCAATGCTGACTACCACAAGATCCCCAAGACCCCGCCTTTCGCCGCCATGGACAAGACATCCGGCGTCGGAGGAAGCTTCGGCAGACGAAGGAGCAAGGACGGGTTCGACAGGCTGTACGTGGACTACAGCGACCGGTGGGAGAAGAAGAAACCAGCCGAAACGAGGACCGTTAATGACAGAGAAGGAAACTGTTCGACGAAATGCCCCAGAGAGGGCCAGGCGAGGCTGAAGAGCAAGAGGTATCAAGCGAGATCAACATCGCTGCCCAAGACGGGACATGGTGGCGGCGGTGATGATAATGGAGCGGAGAAGCTCTCGTCGAGGGAGGAAAGGAGCTGGCTTGTGGCGCGGAAGCTGAAAGAGCTCCAGATGATGGATATGGGCGATGTGGATCATGTTCTCGACATCGAGGAAGTGATTCACTACTACTCTCGACTCAGCTGCCCTGAATATGTCGAGATCGTCGACAAGTTTTTCATGGATGTTTATGCCGAGTTCTTCTCTCCGGCGGCCGCCACTCCGGCGAGTGTCAATTCGAGATCGAGGTCCAGCCGGCTGCTGCGGTCGTAATGAGAAGTCGTGGGAGAGCTTTCCTGTCATGTTCTTGTGTCATCGTTGAAGGACTGATGACTTCATTGTAGTTTGCTTTTCTCTGTTCTTAATTTCATTTCTTCTCCTAGTGTGTGTCATTGTATTCTTCTGATCTAATTGTCATTTGTCATTTCCATTTGTTCATAAATAATTAATCTACTGACCATGATTGTTTCTCGAACTTCATTTTTTTTCTCTCCACGGGTTTATATATAATATACATTGAGCTTTGCATAGTGTTGTTAGTGACGAGTAGTCCTGATTCTCGTTCCAATTCGTGATCATTTTTTGACTTGCGATCTCTAGGTTGAATGTTAGTGGTGAACGAGAAGAAATTTGCTATCAATTTTGCGGTTGAGCTCATCACACTATATACTCATGAAGCACTCTTAGAGTAAGTTAGTCGAATTGTTGGATCTCATATGTATAAATGTGGGCTAATTGTATGGTTGCTCACTGAGTTAAAAAAAAACATTCATGTTTGGTCATTCGAAATATTTAAATCCATTGGTGGTATTTCACTTTACATAAACTGTTCATGTTTGGTCACTTTCCGTTAGTCGTCGTCCATCTCCGTTAACAGTGTCCGTTATGTGATGACATGGCGGATGGAATCATATAATCAGCCCTATTTAACCCGAAAATAGGGTGACCCAACCCGCCACATCATCTGGACCAACCTTACCCTCTAACCAGTCAGACCCGAACCTTAATCGACCCGACCCTTAAACCCCTGTCGTTCTTTCTCCGCAGCAATCACCGCCGCCCTTTCTCCCCAGCAATTCGCCGCCTTCTTGCTCTGCATCCGGCTCGATTCGAATCAATCAAGAAAAGTACTGAAATGAAACAAGGCCAGATCACGTCTCTTCACTTAACCATGGGAGTGAACAGTAGTAGATGGTGCAAACTCATTAAATCAAAAACCAGATTTGTTCACTTTTATCACAAAATGAGATCACCTAATATTCTAAAAACAGAGGGATGGAAGAAAATAGATCACTAATCGCTTATATGTGCTTCTCCATGGCCAATGTGAAGGAGTGGGATCAAACACAATAAGTAACAATAGATCGGAATCTGGGAAAAGGTAGAGGAAGAAGGAAGAAAAAGGTAGAGGAAGAATGCGAATGAATTGAAACCAAAACCTAATTAGGAAGATGACGGCGTCGTGGTCGGATTCGCACCGCTCCAGCCGCTTTTGGTTGTCGCCGTACAGCCCCTCCACACACAAGGCATAGTCGGCGGTTGACTTGCAGATGCGCTGGACCAGCGGCGTCGGCGCTGGGGACTTTGCGACGACGGCGGCGGCTTTGAGGAGGAGAAGGAGTGTTCTAATGAGGGGATGGTTCAGCGACAACGAGGAAGGAAGGCTTCACACGATTGAAAAGTGGAAGGTGGAGATTTATTTTAGAAATTAGGGATTTAATTTGTATGGCTAGTTTAGTTTAAGGGTTGGGTTGGGTCGAGTCTAGTTAGAGAGTAAGGTTGGTCCAGATGACATGGCGGGTCTCAGTGACATGTCGGATTGGGTCACCCTATTTTCTGTTTAAATAGGGCTGACTAGATGATTCCATTCGCCATGTCATCACTTAACGGACGCAGTTAACGGAGATGGACGACTACTAACAAAGACTGACCAAACGTTAACGGTTTAAGTAAAGTGAAGTACCACCAATGAATTTAAATATTTCGAGTGACCAAACATAAACATTTTTTGTAATCTCAGTGACCAAACATGTAATTAACCCGTATAAATGTTTGTCGTTTGTCATTATGGGAAAGTGCCTAACACAGAAACACTGGGATAATGAAAGTAAAGGGCCCAAATTAACAATGATTTCATTTTAATAACCCATCACCGAGGAAATGAAAGTAAAGGGCCCAAATTAACAATGATTTCATTTTAATAACCCATCACCGAGGAAAGTAAGGCAGAGCGAAAGATTGTCTACTGTTGTTGTAGGTCAAGGTTGTCAAACCGGTTTATGCCAGTGTGCCGGTTTAGCAAGTGGAATGGTTCGACCGGTGGTACATACCGGTTTGTGCCAGTTCATGCCGGTTAATATTACAAATAATTTACAAATACTCATATTTAAACACGACATTTAACGTCAATACCTAAATATTTGTACTTGGATCCAACAAATAACATCAACATTTAACTTTTTAACACATAAAATAAGTAATAAATTATTTTTTATCAATTAAATTCACTAAGATAAGGTCATTTTACTTGGAGATTCGTATATCGATCATGCCGGTCATACCGGTGGTGTCATGCCGGTTTTATGACCGGTACAGGTTCAACCAGGTTCAACCAGTGGCACGCCGGCCGGCGTGACAACCATGTTGTAGGTATAAAGCACCTTGTTAGTGTCATAGACTAGTTAGTCCCAATAACTCGAGTTGTTGGGAGAAGGTTAGCCCCCCAAACGAAGGCAACTCATGGGCTTTAAGTTTGCCCAGACCCACCATACATTGTGCTTTAATCAACTGTTAATATTGGGAGCCGTGGAGATTCGAACACACGACCACTTGGTCAAACCAGCTCTTATACCATGTCAATAACCAGTTGACATGGATCCGCAGCCTGGATCCGCGGTAGCCCCTGCCTCGACCGCCGCGTTGTGCCGCACTGCTGTAGTGAGCTGATGGTGGAGCGCCGTCAGCGAGAGACGATGGTGACGGAGACGAGCCTCTTCGCTGAGGAGTAGACCATGGAAGTCATCAAAGGTCAGTGGTTCTGGTCGTGCTTCAATCACCCGGACAAAGGGGGAGATAAGACTCGCCGAGACCGTTGAGGCAGCGGGAGACGAGATCTTCGTCGGAGATGGGACGACCGAGGGCAGCCAGTCGATCAGCGACATCCTTCGCACGAGTGAGGTACCTGTCAACAGGATCAGAACCACAATTGAGAGTATTGAACTGATCTTTGAGATGGAGGATTCCGTGACGATTGGCGGCTCCATAGGCAGCAGCTAAACGAGTCCAGGCGTCGAGAGCAGAGGTGCAGCCGACGAGCTTCGAGAGGACAACATCGGTGAGGGACATGACTATCCAGGAAAGGACGAGCTGGTCACGCTTGTACCAGAGGTCAGGAAGAGCCGTCGGGAAGGAGACGTGTAGGAGCAACGGAGGTTCCATCAATGAATTGGGCAAGGTCAAAGCTATTGAGGAGAGGGAGTAGCTGTAGCTTCCAGAGAAGGTAATTTGTTGGAGTTAACTTGACAGGAATATGAGGGGGGTTGGGAGGGGGTCCGGATGAGAGGACGGTGGAGGGGTGGGAGCCGGTGGCGGTGGACACAGCAGAAGATTCGGTCGCCATAGGGAAAAAAAGGGGAATGAAGATCGAATGATTGGTTCAGCAAGAAAGAAGAAGAAAGGAGGATTTGTCGTTAGGCTTTTGCAAACTCTCATACCATGTCATAAACCAGTTAGTCCCAATAACTCGAATTGTTGGGAGAAAGTTATGTTGGATCTTATACCACTCTCTTACAGTTAGGTCACTCAATGTAGATACTAATAGATCCCGAAATCTAGGGTGCGAGTAATGCAATGAGATTGGGAATTAGGTTAGATCAATCAGGGAGATTAGGGATTAGACTAGATCAATCAGAGGTTGATCCAAGAATTGGGGATTGAACGAAGAAGTTGATGGGAAAGAGGGTTCGGCTGAAGCATAGGGAAGAAAAGGGAGGCTTCGGCTATAGATAAGAAGAATATAGAGGATTAGGGTTTCAATATTCTTATGAAGCTTAACTATAATCTTGTCTTACACCGATACTTATACTAATCGGCAATTATCTCCTTTACTCCCAAAATAATAACCTAATCGTAATACTCCCTCCCCATCCCCAAATATTAAAACCAACATAATAATCCGATAATAATCCAATCAATAAAACGACAATTAATAATAATTCCTAATAACAATAAAATTTATTCAACAGATACCTACCCTGTGCTTGTGCTGGACGAGAGCTCCATTACGATGTATCGTTCATGAGAGTGCAATGGAATGTAATACAGGCATACAGCAGAGGATCAATAATAGATGAAGGTAATAGATTACTGGCGGCAGCTGCAACAGTGTATATTCTCACGATGATAAGACATTGTTGTACCGTTTGAATATCTCATGCCATGACACAAAACTAGACATTAAAACAAGGGCATTAAATCAGAACCAGAAGTATTGCACCTTTGAAGATTTCTAATCCAACTAGACGATGTCAAAACTCAAAACTTGAAACAGTTTCAAAGTGCAGATTCTAAGCCAAAAAACAAACATTGGATTACTACACCATCTCCAGAATCAGCCTCGCTCTCTATGCCTCAGCTGCCCTGAACTCGAACACAACATCCTTGCCGGTAAGCTTCCTGTAAACGGAAGAAAAGGTATCCAACTTGTAGTCGGTGGTTGTCTGTTCCTTTGTGTCCAAGAACACCTGTAGTCATAACAAGTAAAGAGCTTTATATCATCCAGCGACCTCAGAAAAAAGAACCGTGTTGTTTATATAAGTTAAAGGGAAGAGTAAACTATGTTACCTTCATTATCTTGGATCCATCAAGACGGTACCTAGTCCTCTTCCCAACAATCTCAGCAGGTGCCACGACATCTTCCAGCATTGCCTCGTGGACAGAGGTTAGTGTTCTGCTGCGTGGCCTATTTGCAGCTGAACCCTTCTTTGGTGGCCTCACAATCCTTCGAGTAGCAATGACAACCACATCCTAGAGAGAGAAATTACAAAGGCAACCAAGGCCAATCGCACCGCACAAGGGTGTCTCATCAAACTACAAGATAAAAGACGCAAACTGGAATAGCAATAACAAATATCATACCTTCCCACTGAGCTTCTTCTCGAGTTCTCTAACAAGCTTGACATGAATCTTTCTGAAACCTTTCCTCAGCCTGTAAGGGACATGGATAACAACAGCCTTGCGGTTGTTCGAGACATCCATCTGACTGCAAGACAGTGTTTATACAATCAACTTGAGTATGCAGAAACTTTAAAACTGCAATGCGAATTCAAGTACCCATCTGACAACCCAGGCACTTACACTGCAGAGTTAATGTAGAGATCCTTAAGTTCACTCTTCAGATCAGAGTTGGTGTTCTCCAAATCAAACAATGCCTAACAAGAGGTGAGACAGGCATTTTATATAATCAGTAGCCATTCTAATAGTCGACTTATGGCTCAATCCATCAAAATATCATCAGTAGAGCAACAAACCTGAGCAACAGTCTCCTCGAACTCAGTAGGTTCGACATCCTTATCCTTGTGAATCTTCTGCCTAGACGTATACATCTTGACGGATCTAACATATCCGCAAAAGGGTGAGTAACAGCAAATGGTGGGAAAATGAAACCAAACCCATTATCGAATCGCAAACAAAAAGCCAATCAATGACCACAGAAATGGAAGCTCAACGCACAAACATGAAATTTCCTAGTCGAACACTATGCAATAATCAGCTCCAATGGAACAATGAAGCCAAGACCTTGATTCAGACATCTCAACTAACAGTCATCTTCCCAGTGAATACAGCTCGTTCGGGAGATAAGAACTAGATCCCAAAATATGAAAGTCGGAAAAGAATTTGAAAGGAAAAACAGTGTGACTACTGCTTTCTGACGAAAACGATAGATACAATAGCAAAGCAAAGGGATTCCTATAGATTCACAGGAAGGAACAAACAGAAAGATTAAAGGGTGAGACTGAATTACCGGAAGCAGAGAAGAGGGCCGAAGCAGCAGACAGCGCAAGCTCTGAACGCCGGAGACTGGAAAGAAGAAGACCCTCTAGGGTTTTGGCGTTAAAGTTAGCTTAAATATAAGGAATCTAGGGCCAGGTTTAGTTCCGGCGTTACATTGGGCCTGCTAAATCAGTTATGATTGATCGCGAACTCCTAAATGGGCTACAGCCCAAATTCTATGCCCCATATTCAGACTTGGGGTAGCCCAAGCCTTTTGTTAATTGAATTTCTGGAACCAGCAATGGCCTAGTTGTGTAAAAGTTTTCAGGCTTTTGGTCTCTTCCAGGCAGTTTTTTTATTATCTTCCTCGCATATGTATAAAACCGAATTCATTCAATTTCTGAAAAACAATTACTAACTCTTAACCTTTTGAGGAAACCTTCGTCAGTAGTTGTGAATGATCGATTTTTCTCAATCTTTTTGACCTCTTGGTCCCATTGGAACAAGTCACTTTCGTAATTCAAGTTCGACATTTAAGAATAACTATGGGATTGTTTAGCTACCGTCACACACAGTTTTGACTGTCAAACGTGTTTCAGCAGTAGCCTGGAATCATTTATCATTCTTAAGCAAGATATCTTTTTTGTCAGTAGCTTTTGAAATATATATATTTTTCGTTCATCTTACTCTATAGGTTTCTCTTACTTTTTAGATGAGAAAAATTCATGGTTGTATATCACATTGAGAGTAGAAGCACTATCAATCATCCAACTTTTCGACGACCATTTTTCTTGCGATGATAACATATATCCGCGGACTTGTTGTACTTCTCTTGTCTCTTACGTTTGTGCTTGGTTACAACCCCTTGACCTACCTGAAGTTAGTACTCTTGAGTTTCATGTTACCGTGTCGCCTAAACGAGTAGTGTCTTCACATTATTCTCTATTATTTTGTATTCTCATTCTTTTTTCATCATTGACTATTTGTTGTAGTTGTGTGGAGGTAGTTTGGCTTCACTACTCATGGAGCTGCTTGCCTCTTTTTTAATTTTATATGACCTCTTTCTCTTTTATTTACGCGTTGTTTCTCTCTCCATCAGTTGTTTCTTGCCTATTTCTTTCAGTTTCTCTTTATGTTTTATTGATTGAATTTCGCACTGTTCTGCTCCTAGGAAAAAGATCCAAAACCAAAAAGAATTGCTTGAACTTCCTTTTCATGTGGTTGTTGACGCGAAGTTAGCTGAAAATTGTTTTCTTTCAAGTCCTGTCATGATCGCACACCCAACGACGGAGCTTCATTCGGGCAACTCAGTGGTGAGTGGAAACTCCATGCTCATAGAGAAGAAAAAACGAGAAAGGAAAAGAAAAGAAGAAAGAGAGTAGAAAGAAAGCCCTTTCTTTTTCACCATGGAGGAAGAAAAGTTGCAAAAAGTATGGGAAATCAAAGATGACAAAAAAAAAAATTGAAGTATGAAGCACCCTCCAAAAGAGAATCTCAAGTTCCCACCACCAAATTTGGTGGGGGATCCAATATTCCAAATCATGGTTGTTGGTTGCAGTAACGAAATGACCAAAGGGTAACTGGGATCCCTAGAACATGGGCTTGAGATTGAGTAGAGTAGTTAGTGTGTTCTCTTTTCCAACTTGGAAGAGTACACTAACATGCTTCTTTTGTTAGCAAATGGAGGAAGATTCTTCAGGTATTCTGTTGAAGATTCCAACCAACTAGGTAAAAGAAGGTGGGTGGGGATATTTTGGTTGGAACAAGGGCAGCTAACTATCTAGCTATAGGCAGCTAGACAAAGGCAAAGTTGCTGGTGAAACAACAATGGGGGAAATAAAGGGGTGGATGGGATGAGATAAGGAGTCATCTTTTCATTCATATGTCTTTGTCAATATGGTACCCTTTTCTTTTCTTTCTCTCCTTTGTGTGTTTGTGCCATTTGGGAGTTGCACCTTTCCCACACATGTCTCGTCTTTTTGCTTACTTAGCTTACTTACTGCCTTGGGTATTTGGTAATCAAGGACTCATAATGATTGGAAAGATCCAATAACTAGTTCTACCATTGGGATTCTTGATAACGACTTGTGATAGTATTGCATACTTGTGCAACATGCAATTGAGATTTGCCATCATTTCGATTTGCCCTTTTTTGGGTTCTCCCCTTTCTCTACCCGTGCTTTAGTGTAATGGGTGACAGTGGATGTATTACATACTGTGATGATGTTTCTAGTATCGCATCGTATCAATAAATTGTATACGTTAAATGTTATGGCGATGGTAAGATGTTATGAATTTATTATGATGTGTCTCGTAGTTGTTTTTACGTACTTTTGTTATTACTCATTTACTGTACTTTGAAACAGTACATTGCTTTTGAAATCTAGAAAATGAGCATGTGGAGGGAGACGGATGGCCTAATGATTGAATAAGGCAATGCAACAAGACAAGTTGCAAGGTAGGGGAGGTTATACGTGTTGTCCATTATATTCCCATGGAGCAAAGTTGAATTGCATGCACAACAAGAGATTTTCTTAAAGTCAAAGGCTTTACATATCATTTGCTGGCATCCGTGAACATTTTGATATATTTAGTTCAATGTAAACATAAATCATAATAGCATGGATCTTAGAATTAGATGATTTCACGAATCGGTAATAGATCAAGGAAATCTACCTCGATCCATGACAAGAACGCCGGTGGCGGCTTGAGTAGTAATCACCGGAATTGAGTTTCTCCCTCTTGACCCCTTTAGGTTTTAGGTTTAGAGATTTCTATTACGGCAAATAAATTCTACGTAATGGGTGGAGAGAGGACCAATCCTAGGGTTTCTTTATATAGACCCACCATCAGGGTATATTAGGAAATTACATTTTTCATTAACCTAACCAATATATGACTTACCTTATATATTAAACCATTAAGTGATAATTACACTTGGGCACAATTATTCCCTAGTGATCCATACGGGAATTGGGCTTACATTCTCCCACTTGGCCCATGTGTCATTATATATCACAAGATCTAATAATAAACATAAGCGTGTACATCATAAGATAAATCCATAATATTTGGTTCACTATAAAGTCATAATAAAGTATGAAAGCTAGATTAGGATCATGGCGGTTCTATATCAATTTATCGACATAGTCCCTTCCATGTACCACAAAACCAGTTTCATGCTCAATTTGACACATAACAAGGTATTCATAATGGTCCAACAATAATGTCTTTCCTAAAGACAAAAATCTTGTTCTGTCCACATAATTCATAATGTATATATAATGATCATAATAAACAAGACAAGATTCATAACTTTATTCCATAAACAAAATAAATGAGCTCAAAGTGTCAATCCATGAAACATAAAATAACTTTAGTCATGACGTCCTATAATCCTCATCCTTTCGACATGTTCAGTAAATGTCTTAGGAGGCAATCCTTTTATTAATGGATCAGCAATCATAAGCTGTGTGCTAATATGCTCGATCGACACCCTTTGTTTCTGAACTTCTTCCTTAACGACAAAGTATTTCACCTCCATATGTTTAGCACCCTTCGAATACTTGTCATTCTTAGAGAAGAATACCGCTGCGGAATTATCACAGTAAATTTTCAGCGGCTTGGCGATAGTGTCGACAATTCCAAGTCCAGAAATAAAATTCCGCAACCATAAACCATGATTGGTAGCTTCATAACAAGCTATGAATTTAGCTTCCATAGTGGATGTGGCAATAACAGACTGCTTCGCACTCTTTCATGAAATTGCCCCTCCGGCTAGAAGGAATAAATAGCCAAAAGTAGACTTCCTGGTGTCTACACATCGAGCATAATCTGAATCTGAATATCCAATCACCTCAAGGTGATCAGATCTCCTAAAGGTGAGCATGTGGTCTTTTGTTCCTTGCAGATACTTTAGTACCTTCTTTGCAGCTTTCCAATGATCTACTCCTGGATTACTTTGATACCTGCCCAGCATTCCGACAGCAAAACTGATGTCTGGTCTGGTACAAGTTTGTGCATAATTTAAACTTCCAACAATAGATTCATAAGGAATGTGTTCCATTTGCTTGCATTCCAATTCATTCTTTGGACATTGTTTGAGACTAAATTTATCTCCCTTCTGAATTGGAACGATATTTGCAGAGCATTCAGCCATGTTGTATCTCTCTAGGATCCGGTTAATGTATGATTTCTGAGACAATCTCAACAGTCCTTGTGATCTATCATGAAATATTTCTATTCCAATCACATAGGATGCCTCACCCAAATCCTTCATTTCAAAGTTCATAGAGAGAAACTCCTTGGTTTGATGTAATAAACCAAGATCATTAGTAGCAAGCAAGATATCGTCAACATACAGAACTAAAATTATAAACTTGCTCCCACTAATCTTCAGATATATACATCGATCGGCAATGTTCTCCTTAAATACAAAGATGTAATGGTATCATTGAACTTAATATACCATTGTCGGGAAGCTTGTTTAAGTCCGTATATTGACTTCTTTAATTTACACACCATATGTTCTTTTCCCTCAACCACAAAACCTTCAGGTTGATCCATATAGACTGCTTCATCTAAATTCCCATTAAGAAAGGCGGTTTTCACATCCATCTGATGGAGCTCTAGATTATAATGAGCTACGATTGCCATGACAATCCTTAAGGAGTCTTTCTTGGAGACGGGTGAAAATGTCTGTTTATAGTCAACACCACTTTTCTGAGTGAAACCTTTGGCAACAAGTCTGACCCTGTGTCTTTCGATATTGCCATTAGAGTCGTGTTTGGTCTTCCAGACCCATCTATTACCAACTCTTTTACAACCTTCAGGCAAATCAACAAGGTCCCAAACTTCATTTTTATACATAGATTTCATCTCTTATTTCGCGGCAGCTAATAACCATTTATCAGAATGCTCACTTTCCATGGCTTGTGAAAATGAAACTGGATCATGATAGAGTCCTAAATCAGATTCTAACTCGTGAAGATAAACCTCACAATCATCCGAAATTGCAGGTCTTCGATTTCTTGTAGACCTTCTTAATGCGATTTCTTGTGGTTCATCTATGTTAGGTTCATTCTCAATAGCAATATTAGGTGGTGCTTGACCGTTCATTTGTTGTTCTTGCAAATCGTTATCGTGCTCAACATGTGCAGGAGC